GGGGTATTGAATTAGTCACAGAATAGAATTCTTGAGAAGAGACTAAGTGACTAGGAAAGATCAGTGGGTAGGACCGGAGGAAGTAGATACAAGAGAGGTAGGACAGCCAGGGAATATATGCCTGAGAGCAAGAGAAGAGAGATGTCTGAAATGAGGGCTGACTGTTTACAAATAGCTCCTGAAGTATCAAAGAATGAGGTCTGAAACACTGAAATGAAGTTTGGTGTTAAAAAGATAATTAGGGTCTTCAGAAGTAGTTTAAGGAGGATAGACAAGGTGGAGGTCAGGTTGCAGAATGTGAGGGTATCTCAGCAACTCTTTTGTCCATATTATATATGTTGTCATTGATGTACATTACTGTAACCATCGACATGAGGAAAAGGACAGTCAGTGTGGTAAATACTGCTATGTGTCAGCCTTAAATGCATTTCCACTTAGGGTTTTTCAACTTAGAGATTGATTTATCAGGACATCACTCCATTATAGAAGCATCTGTATATAATAGAGAATGATTTTATACTGGTAAAAATTCATATATTGTCTCCATTTTAGGTCAAATCCCCATAGAAGCACTTTACTCTTTTTCATAAAGTAGGTTTTAATATCTCTAATGTAAGATCCGGTGAATATTTCTCATAGTGAATGCTTAAGTTTCAACATTTTAGCTCTGTATGGGAAATGTGACTGCAAACTTACTGACCTAGGCACAAATTTGTTTTTTTAAAGCTTAACTTCTGAATTTCATTGATGCTGATAGTCTCTGTGGTTGAAATTCTATAATTGCATCCATTTTATAACATCTGACCCAACAGCCTAAAGTTGAAAAGATTCCTGAGAGATTTCTTGCTGTCAGATACACTTAGTTATGGTCCTTGTCAAAATGTTTACCTTTATTGGCAGTTGAGGTAGTGATTCATAATTAGAGACTCGGGGTATAACCTTATTTTAAAACCAAAAAAAGGAATAAAAACTGATAGGGGCCTGTAGAAGTGTCATATACCTGTGATGTCATCTCTTCCAGAGGTTCACAAGTTTAAGGCCAGTCTGAAAAATGTAAACAGATACTCTATCTCAGAATTTTAAAATGGGAATTGGAGAATGTGGCTCATTGGCAGAGCACCCATAGGTTTGATTCACAAATAGGATAGGAAAGGAGGGAGGGGAAGAAAGAGAGATAAAACTAAAAACTCCCGGAAAGCAAAAATAATAGAATGTTCCTGAAATTTTAGAAGAATACACCCCTTAATTTGCTAAATAGCCCTTTTATACTTTTTCTCTGTAAAGTTTTGTCTGTTAGAGGATGACAGTTTGAAGTTTAAACTACTTGGAATAGTTGTACATTACCTGGGGATTGAACCCAGGTAAATCATGTCTGATTATTATAAATGCATGGGTTTTTCAGACACAGGGTCTAGTTATATAGTCCAGGTTGGCCTCGAATTCATTAGGTAGTCCACGCTGGCTTCAAACTCATGATGATCCTCTTGCCTCAGCCTCCAAGTGCTGGGATTACAGGCATGTGCTGCCATGCCCAGCAGATGCAATTATTTATTACCACTCTGCCACTGAGCTATATCTCCAGTCCTCTTCTTATTTTTAATTTTAAGACAGTGTCTTAGTTACTTTTTACTCGTCACTGAGACAAAATACCTGAAGCCCAATTTGGGAAAGGAAAGGTTTATTTCTTACAGTTTTTTGGAGGTGTCAGTCCACACTCAGTTGGCTCCAAGGCAGGCGGGCATGGCTGGGCCGCAGTTCATGGCTGCAAACAACAAGCAGGAACCAGCAAAGAGCAAGACACACCTTCTTCCTGCCATTAAATTACATCCTGGCTCTACCCCTATGTGGATGGAGCACTGACACCATCAATCCAAGCACTAATCAACGAACGAATAACAAATGCACAATTCAAACCCCGGAGGCCTGTGGGCCACAGACATAAACCATGACAGACAGTGTGTTGTACAGTTGCCACAGGTGAGACTTGAATTTGTGATTTTTCCTGCCTCAGCCTCCCTCAGTTCTGGAAATACAGATGTGCATCACTGTGATGGGCTGAGTAATGTAGTTGTGCATTCTAAGACAGAATTCTTTGCATCAAAGTAAATTGGAGCTTATAGCTAGTATTACATCAGTGCCTACACTGAGAATTTACACATTTGCATATGCCAAATAAAAAAACTTGAAAGTAGGAATAATGGAGCGATCAGGAAGAAAAACAAATCTCCAATGATACATGTGGATTTCAAATGTTTGTAATGTTTTTCTATTTACATTTGGCAAATATAACTGAATTTTCATTTGGATTGATTTTCAGTCTTTCTGCTCAGCATTGTTCTCAGTGTTAATAGAAAATGTATAAAGGAAACAAATGGTCATGGTCATATTCACCTAGCATTGAAATGATCAGCATAGTAAAACATGGAAGCTTCATGACTCGAGAGGGAAAATATAAAGACTGTCTACTGTGTGACTTACCTCAAACTAAAGGAATCTTGAATCCTTCCTACCTTTATTTGGGGGTAACTATTTACTTTATCTCTTATTTTAGAGGCAGAGACACATAATAAGTAATTTGATTCCAAACCATTGGCTTTGAGGTTGACAATATTTACTTTGTGTTTAACTGTAACAAATTCTGTTCCTATAGAAATACTTGTTTTAGAGATGATTATAAAAATCTACTTTTAGCAATTTAAAAATGCTATTGTTTAAAATTAAATATCTAGATGTTGTGTTTAATTGGTCATTTAATGAGTGTAAAATATTCTCTAAGATGTGAGGTCTAAGACAGGGAGGTACAGTGGTACCTTGCTCAGTTCACAAACTCAGTGCTCTCCACAATTCTAGTTGCAAATTGAACTAAACAAGAACTGAATCAAATTTCCCCGTTAGGTCCACATTAGACCTAACATTGAATTTGATTTGATTCTCCTCCAACTCAGTTGGTGACCAGAATTATGGAAAGAATCAAGTTTGTGAACCAAATATAGGTAGCTCCTTAAGCCATGGTCTATGAGAAATCGTATAGGAAGGTGAGAGTCCAGAGGGAAATTGAACAATTAAAACATTTCTCAGTGGAAAAGGCTGGAGACTCTTCAGGTTCTACTTGAGCCTGAAATTTCCTTTCTTATTTCTTTACTCATTGCAATTGTTATCTATAAAGAACCAATTCAGGAACCATTTCCTGAGTGTCATCCATGTGGTATCAACTACATAGCTGAGACAGGAGAGTCGCAAGTTCAAGGCTAGGCTGGGTAACTTAGCGGGACCCTGTCTCAAAATAAAAATGGGCTAGCAAACCTGAGGCCCTGGATTCAATCCATAGTACCGGAAAATAAGTAAATAAATAGTCTACTTCTTCTGTAAAGCTTTCTTTTATATTCGCAGTTAATTGTACTTTATACTTCTCCCACAGAGTACAACTTTTACATCTCATAAATACTACAGTTTGTTTTAATAATTTTTATTAATAATTCTTCCAGAGTTCAAGCTATTTTGTAGTAGGTTGTATAACTTTTATGCATATAGCACCAAGCATGTCACAAGAATTTTTATAAATGTTAAGTAAAAATGGCTAAATCATATCTGGAAACATGCTAGTAATGAAACAAGAAAGCCTTCAAGGAGGAGGCTGTATTTATGTAGGCTTTAAAATACGGGTAATATTTTGAGAATCAAGAGAAGGAGGGAATATCCCATGTAATAGAACAATATGATAGATAATTAAAACAGTCCTTTTGGGCCACGAGTGTCAAGTGGCTTTGAATTCATAGAGTATGCCCTACAGAAAGTTTTTTGCTTAAAAAGTCACTGTTGAAGGAGGTAGATGATTTGGGAAGAAAACAGCTCATATCAGACCCGATACCATGTATCAGCTAGGTTGTAGTAAGAAAAAGACACTGGGGGCAAAACAAGTTAGGCAGCTATGGTAATATTCCAAGTGGAAGCTAACAAAGGTATGAATCATTGAGTGACAGGGAAAAGGAAAATGAGATAACATGTTGACCACTGACTGAAAATGAGTGACAGAACAACATACCTGGGCTTTAATGTCAACCACCTGGAAGAGTAGTATTTTTAGTAAGAGAAAGATGTTAGAAGAAATAGGTTTTGAGGAGGTGAGGCTTGAGTGTAAGGTTCCTGTATCCAAGCTACAGAAGGTTCTCTGGATGACTTTACAAACATTGTCTTCATAGGCTTCCTTTAAATACCCAATTACATTCAGGAATAAACATCATTATGTTCATACCGCCTGTACACACAGTTATGGGGGAGGGGTAGGTGGATTTTTGATTTTTACTAGGTTTTACCATGTGCATAACCTCTATTATTTGCATATTTCTGACTAAATTGATCCCTTGGAGTGAAGAAACATATAGTTTTAATGAAACAATGGTCTTAATATTATAACTTTGTTGTAAATGCCCTGACAAATTAAGGGCATGTAGGAAAAGTTCCAGTTAATGAATAGTGATGCAAAATACACAGGCCTTCTAAACAAGTAATTCTTGTTAGAAGACTTGACTATTGGATTTCTTAGAAGTTTCACCAGTACAGTCTTGATTCTTCCATGTCTCAGCAACATAACATGGTAGAAATGAGCTTCTGGGATAGGCCTCGCTTTGAATACCAACTCCGCCAACCCACCATCTGTTCTGTTTTGTTCACCGAATGTTTAAAAAATGAAATATAATTCACATACCATAAAATTCACCTTTTATAAGTGTGCAGTTCAGTGGTTTTTAGTAAATGCACAAGATTGCACAAACATCACCACTAATATTGGAACATTTTCAGCACTACATAGAAGAAACATATCCATAGCCATGTCCATTTCAATTATTCCCCATTCCTTCTTCTGTCAATCAACTACTGATCTACTAATCTTATCATTTTTATTCAAAGGAAAGAGACTGAAATATTCTAATTCATAATGTTATTACCCTTTATAAGTTCATTATGCAAAAGGAATCATTAACTGTCTTTTGTTCTTACAGGAAGAAATACAAAACCAGGATAAAATGGGACAAACAGCAAATGAAGGTAAGATTTACTTGTTTAAAAATAGCAACATTTTTATTTATTTGTTTGGAATAGATAACAGGACACATTGAATTTTTGAAGTAAAATCTTTTTGGACTGAAGATGTGGCTATGTAGTAGAGTTCTTCCTTAGCATGCTCAGGGCCCTGGATTTGAGCCCCAGTACTGAAAAAAAGGTGTGAAATAAAGCCTTCTAAAAATAGAAGTTAGATGCTTAGAATTACAATTTTAGAATTAAATAGCTATTAGAAATTGTTACGTTTTTCTGTCTTAGCTTCATAAGTTAAAACTGAAAGTCAAGGATGTTAAGTGAACAGGTCATACAATAATGTGTGAAAAACATTATAATCCATGAAGACAAAAAAAGCATTTTGGTAACTATTGTTGGTTTTGTAAGGTTTTGAAGTCATGTATCATACTGATTCATTTTTATTGGTTTTCTTCTGTTTTATTTTCCTTGGTTTTATCATTTTTCAAATAAAATAAACTACAATAAAATGATTATAATATAGATCTAACTTTAGTATGAGTGATTTAAAAATGCCTCATTCTGTCTTGCTGTAGTGAGAAATCTGTTTATTGTTGCATGGATGTGTCACATTCATTTTCATTTGGCTTTGTGTTGCATTTTCCTCTTCATTACACATTTTTTGTTTATTTACCTTCTTAAACCTTATTTCTCTTTCAAGTCTTGTATCTTTCATGATTTTTCCTCTGGTTAAATGCTAAGCACTAAGTGCTATCTTCTAATTTTATTAAATACATTAGTTTATTGTAGGCTCTATAACTAGATGATTAGTTTTCCTAGATCAGGAGCTGTGCCTTTACAATTTCTCTTTCTTTCCACTTTGAAAATCTCATTGTATAACTAATAAATGTGTGGGTTTTTTGGAAAGTGATACAAGTCAAGTAGTTTAAATAAGAAGTAGCCCATGCGTATGTTCCTCTCAAGAGTTCATAGAACTTGGAAGAGTCCCTCAGCCATAACCACTAAGTAGATCTATTACCTTGAGAGATATCATTCTTAGGTCCTTTTAAAGAAGCTTATTAGTTGACAATGACAGCATCCATAAAGCTAAAACAAGATGGTTAGAAACATATCAGGTATGTTTGAATCCATGATTTCATAATAATATTTTAGAAGCCCACAATAAAACCTATTGTTCATCTGTGGAAAATGCTAGAGATTAACTCACTTTGAAAACTAGACTATGAAAGAAAACAATTGTGTTAATGGTAGTTCATGTGTGATCTGTAGCTCAGGGTAACTGAATGATCAAGGAAAGGAAATTTTTTCTGTGGAAGTTTTCTGGGTAGTAAAGTATGAATGATAGAATACCTACATTTTACAACCACCAATGAAATACGGATCTAGGCAATAGTTATCCGCGGCCATGCACGCCACAAAGAGACAGGTAGTTATATCTTAGAAATCTCCTGTGATAACTATACCCCACCAATGACGCCATTTTTTTTTCTTCCCTCACCCTCAAAGACAAACTTTGAATCTAATTAAACTGTTCTGGTAAGAGGTGTGTGGGGATTGCTTTTGTGGATTGAAATACTAATGTCAATTTAGACAAAATCTGAAGACCAGAAGAACCCAACACTATGAAAAATGAGTCAGCAAAATCCAGATTGGAAAACTTTGTGAAGTATCAGCCAACTGGTATTGTCAGCAATACAATTACAAAGAACAGAAAAAAAGGAAGAGGAGTCTATATAGCAAAAGATATTTAAGAGACGTATCAAGACATACTATTTGAGTTCTGGTTCAGACATACATACTTAAGACAATTGATGAAATATAAACACTGACTTGTTACTCAATGATATTAAGGAATTAGAATTAATTTTCAGGTGTAATAACAGCATTATCCTTAAGTTTTTAAAAACAAGTCCTTTTAAAGATATTTACTGTAATATATGTAGATAAAATTATATGTCTCAGATTAGTTGTGCTCCCATGGGTCTAGTTTGAGTTCTGTAGCTTGCCACAGAGGAAAAACTGCTTAATTAATTGAATTACATTGTATTCTGGTTTCTTTGTTAAGTGTTCAAGACTACCAGCATCCATTTTACTTCTAGGGCATGTTAATTTCAGCATTGTAAGGATCAGCTCATTTTGATTTATCAATGTATTCATTTAACAAATGCTTATGAGTGTTCTGTATGCCAGGTTCTATTCTAGGAACTAAGGATACTGCAGACAAAAATAAATACTGACCCTTATGAAACTTGCATTTGATTAGAGTGAAATACACTGTATACAATAGAAATGAACAAATTATAAAGTACAGTGTATGTTAGAAAGTATTTCAGACATATGTGGAAGATGAAGATATTGATCATAAAATTAAAACTGACCCATTAAAATAGTTTTAGTTTGTATTTTTTACTTTTTAAACTATTAGTGTGACTTTGTGGTACAACTGTTTTCTTTTTTTGTTAGATCCAATGGATGTCAAGAAAGAGACTCAAGAGAAAACTCATTCAACCACATCTGCGAAAAGTGGTAAAATCTTTTTTCCCTCAATGCTAAGATGAGCTCATATTACTTTGATTTTGAAATTTTTCCTATAATTTTAGTTAGAGATAAATTGATAATTATATTTCAGCGCAATTTTGTCAAATCCTAGATACTGCATTAATAATTGCCATTTGTTATCACGTTGGAATAATTGGTTATTACTGAAGCCCACCCTTTTTAAACATTATTCATTGTGAAAGTTCTCTTTTTTATGATTCAGAGGCAGCTCATTTGTTAAACAGCTTAGGTAATGGGGCATCTGACAGACCTGTTCTAAAATCATGGCTTCCTTACTTGCAAAAAGACCTTGGGCAGATTTATTCAATGTCTCTTAGCTTCTTTTCCTTTTTTGTAGAACGGGAATAATCATAGTTCTTACCTCGTGAGATTACTTCAACTACATAAAAAATGATTGTGAATCTCATAATATAATGCCTAATTAGGTAGTAAATACTCAGCAGATACTAACCTTACTTATTAATCTTGAGTTATTTCATATTCTGAGTAACTTGTTTTAAACAGCATGTGTCTTAAAATTGCATCAGAGGAACTCAAGAGATTGAATCTGACACACTGGGCCTGCTGCTCCTAAGGAAACTGAGAAAATAGGTTATATGCATACAAAAAGCTGAATAAAAATACTTTAGTAGGCTATGGTTTTATGATAACTTTCCAGGCAAACTTTTTGTCCATTGTCTTTCTGTTGTACCTGCCCTGCCAGCTTTGATCCTGGAGTTTACCCCATGGCTTTCTATTCCTGTCTGAAGATTACCTGTAGAAGTTATCTCCCATGGAATCATTGTTTCTCACTGTAGTTGGATCCTCAGTGCTCTGTTTTTCATTGTCCTTATTATTATTCAAAGCCTTTTTTCAAGCCCCTCAAACTCTCCAGTGAAATGGAGACCATTGTGTTTGAATGTTAACTTACCTCCTGTTTTTTTAAATACAGCTGAAATAATTCACATGCCACATAGTTTATTTACTTCATACTATGGTTTATTCATTACAATTCAGTTGTTTTCAGTATGTTTAGAGTTGGGTAACCGTCACTACCATCAATTTGAGAACATTTTCACCACCCAAAAAGAAGCCATATCACCATTAGCAATTACTTCCCATTTCCCCTGAACACATTCCCTTTTCCTAGGAAAACATTCTGCCTCTGTAGGCCAAGTGATACTGCTCTTTGTTTCTGTAGGTTTGCTATTCTATCTCCATAGGTTTGCTATTCTCATTTCATATAAATGAGCTTAAAAATATATTTTTAAAAGTTGAAAGTAGGAACTTTTCAAATTTCTCAAATTTCTGATTAAAAAATTCTTAATTGAACTGACAGACAACTACAGATATTTGTCAGCTCCTAGACGATAACGTCTCATGTTAGGAATAATGAGTGATGGCTGGAAGGTAAGCTCCAAGAGAGACACTGGGTTTTGTCTATTTTATTAATTGATGGAGCCCTGTTACCTAGAACAGTGGTGTGTGGTTGTGACCCACTATGGGAATTCAGTGATAAACAAGACAAACATGATTCCTGCCCTTTTTGAGCTTATGGGATAAACAAATGCTATTACATTTGGGATAAATATTGTGAAGTAGTAATTGCTGATCATTCAGCTGAGAAGCTTCTACCACTGGATATTTTGCCTTCACATAATTTGGGAATCCAAGGCTAGAACTAATGAAAGACACCAAGATTTTCATTTATATACTCTAGAGATCAGTGGGGCTTATATAGATTATATTCAATATGCCAAAAGGTATTGGAGCTTATGCTTAGGTTACAATGGAGTAGAAGTCAAATAAGGACAACCATGGGTATGTTCACATAATAATCAGATCATAAGGTTATGTATATGAAGAAAACTATTAGTTCCAGACATTTTTAATTTTAACATTCTGACATGATATCTTTCTAGTTGTGTGCACCCCCCCCCCCCTTTTTTTGTATAGGAGATTGAACTCACGACCTTGTACTTGCCAGGCAGGCACTTATACTACTGAGCTAAATCCCTGGACCTTTCCCAAGCATTTTTAAGAAAAAAATGAACCCCAGCTCACCCCCACTTTCTTAACTTTTAATAAAACAAGATGCAGAGGCAGACAGGAATCTCAAGCTTAGTAAATATTCTCTGTTTTTGGCTCCTGGTTGGGAATTCCAGCTGTATTGTTCATGTGGATACGACAAATCTAAATTAGTAGCCAGCATCCATGTGTGTCTCTACTGTGTTATTGACAGGGTCTCAGCATACAGACAGCCAGTATGAACAGTTTTATTGAAGCAGTCTAAATTTTTTTTCATATTAAAGAGACAAATTAAGGCTCCAAATCATAAATGATACATATGATCACCAGCTAGCAATATGATAGAAAATGATTCTATTGCAGTATACCAGTATAAAGCTTTTGGTAGTGTAAGTTCTAGCTCATAGAAGTGTAAATGTTGATAGAGGAGGACAAATTTGTTAAGTATTTTCCATTGTCCCTGAAATAATTTACAAAGGTTATTGGCTTATAAAAGAATGTTCTTGGGGCTGGGGATTTAGCTCAGTGGCATAAACACCTGCCATGCAAGCATGCAGTCCTGAGTTCAATCCCTGGTACTAAAAAAAAAAAAAAAAAAAGAATGTTCTTTGGGGTATTCAGTACATGTGAGATTTTAGTTTTCTAGCCACTATTTTCTTTCCTTTTTTTTTTGTCGTCTTTTTATTGGTACCAGGGATCGAACTCAGGATTGCCTGCTTGCAAGGCAGGCACTTATGCTGTTGAGCTAAACCCCCAGCCCCCAAGCCACTATTTTCAATTTACACTTTTCTGCCTGGGGTGTCAGATACTTTATGACATACTCCTCAAAATTTCCCCCATTAATTTTTCTTTTCTTTTTTTTTTTTGGCTCTAGTGATTGAACCCAGGGAAACTTCCAGCGATCTATATCTCTAGCCTTGTTTGTGTGTGTGTGTGTGTGTGTGAATGTATGTGTGTGTATTTGTTTTGAGACAGTGTCTTGCTAAGTTGCTTAGGAACTCAGATATGGAATCTTCCCACCTCAGCCTTCTGAGTAGCCAGGATTGCATGTGTGTGCCACTGTGCCTAGCTGTTTTGTTCTTTTGTAATGTTCTCCTGGATCAGTGATGGTGAACTTTCTAGAGCTTTTAGTGATACAATTAGCCCATTGTGGCACATGTGCCGTAGGCTTGCCTCCACTGTCCTAGATCATATGGTAATAGTTTCAGTTGAAATTTTGTCCCTGATTGAAGAGTTTAGGAGACCACTGAAACATCTGTTCTGTTTTATTTTGGAGCCATAGATTTCTGTTTTCACTTTTGAGAAAGCTACTAGGTTCACAAATTTAGACACAATTATGATATTTAGTTTTATAATACACCATTTATTAAGTGATTTACTTATGTAGTACATTTAACCCTCAAAATACCTAGTGCCATATATATTACTGTCCTTGTTTTATGAATGAAAGTGAAGTGATTTTTTGGAGTCACATAACTTTTGCAACTCTGACTCCAAATTCCATATGCTTTTTTTTTTTTTTTTGTCTTTTTCCTTTTTATCGGTACCAGGGATCGAACTCATGACTGCTTGCTTTCAAGGCAGGTGCTTATGCCGCTGAGCTAAACCCCCAGCCCCAGTGCTATGACTTTCAACAGTCTGGTAATGCTGACTCACATCATCTGGATATGCACCCAGACATGTATTATTAAGTTTATAATTCAGTGTTTAAAAAGTATAGACTGTTACATATGACATGCTTAATACCACATATATTATGTACACATGTAATGTGTATATTATGCACACATATGTAATGGTAGTGTACTACAGTTGTCTCACACTAACTTGGGAGAACCTATTATGCATATCACTTTCTCTGTAGTTGAAAACTTTACCTTGGCTCCTCATAATCAGCCATTACACTATAGAAAGCCATACTACCAGTTAGGCTTTTTGATGTTTTTTTGTTTGTTTTTGTGGTACCGGGGATCAAACTCATGACCTCTCACTTCCCAGGCAGGCACTTTTTGATGTATTTTTATAAAGCTGGTTGTTAAACATTTATCAACATTTGTGTGTGTGTGTGTGTGTGTGTGTGTGTGTGTGTGTGTGTGTGAGAGAGAGAGAGAGAGAGAGAGAGAGAGAGAATATCCTTTGAAGAATACATTATTTTCCCATTTCTCCTTATCTGGCATACATTTATTCTAAAACCTCCAGTTAATCCTTGAAACCATTATATCATATATATATATATATATATATATATATATATAATGATATATGTATAATAAAGCTTACTTATCTATGATAAAGCTTAATTTATAAATTAATCATAGTCCCCATTACATTGCTTTGAAGCCTTATAATGTTTCCATTCATTAGTTGGAATGGTTTTACCCTGGTTTGTTTGATTATATTATCTGCAATAGTATGAACAGCTATTTTGAAGAAAACTAAGACATTAGGATAGCCAGTGCTGATTTAATATCATCTTACTCTGAAGTCCTACTATGCTTTTGTTCTTCTGTTTCCTTTGGTTCTATCATGTTATATCTTATTGCATATTATTATGTGTGATGGTATAAACAAATTTGCTATGGAAAATGAGATAATATAGTAGCCGTTGTTCGTTCTCTGTTACTTGGTTCTGAAAGCCCTGTAATGCTTTCATTCTCTTGAATGGTTTTATACTGTTTTGTTATGTTTGATACTATCATATATGAAGTTATGCTCAACTATTTCAAAGAAAGAGACATTATGGTAGTTACTGTTAATTATGGGTAGTCTTGTGGTAAAATGCTGAGTTGCTTGCATTGTTCTGATCTGATCTGCTTTGTTATGTCCTCTTTGGTCTTAATCTCTTTAAAGTAAAAAACTAAATTAGTCATAGTATTAACAAATATAATTTACAGTAGATCTTAGCAACAGCAACGTGACTTTTTTTCATTCCATACAAAGTTGATAGCTTTAACCATTTCACTTTTTTTTTGATGGTACTGGGGATTGAAGTCACTACCTCCTGCTTGCTGAACTCACAACCTCATGCTTGCCAGGCAGGCACTTATGCCACTGAGCTAAATCCCCAGCCCCTTTTCACTTAAAGAAGTAGCACTTATGGCTTCTATTTTGGATGTCTATATTGCTAGCATCATTACTCTTGCACTTTGGGGGCCATTATTAAGTAAAATAAGAGTTATTTGAACCCAAGCATGTTTAATACCTCAGCAGTTTATCTCATAACTGAGATAGCAACAAAGTGACTAATAGGTAGGTAGTGTACACAGAATGGATGAGGGGATGATTAATGCCCTGAGTTGGATGGAGTGAGACAGATTTCATCAAGCTACTCAGAAACTCCATGCAATTTAAAACTTTTGGACTGTTTATCTATGGAATTTTTCACTTAATGATTTTGGACTACAGGTGATCATAGATAACTGATACTGTGGATTGAGGGGGCTAGGGATAAAGGGAGACTACTGAATATATGAAGCTGGTAATACAGATTCTTCCAGGAAGGGGAACTATCAAACACAATGTATTTATAAGGAGAAAATTAACAAGAGTACAGAAAAACTTTCTGTTGATAAGAATTAAGTTTTTAGGGGATGGGGATTTAGCTCAAGTTGGAAGCCCTGGGTTCGGTCCTTAGCACCAAAACCTGGAAAAAATCATTTAAGTTTTTAGTGTGATGGCAGTCTTCAACTGAATTGAAGTGTTAAAGCAAAGCAAATTTTACACGGTTTTCTGATCTCATCTAGCATTATATGAAAAAGGACAGGAAGAGTAGATCATTGAAAGAATGCATTTCGATGAGTGTATTAACAGTGAGTTTATGGTTTGTTCTACCATCATGATCTTGTCACTCTGTATGGCGAACTAATAGTTCATTGAGAAATTACTTGGTTCTTAGATTTTTTTTCCCACAAAATATCCAAGGGGTAAAATCTTATTAGACCAGATATCTGAACACTTCCACTTTAATAGGATGAAATTATGCACACACATTACTTGAATAAATTTATATTAGAGACAGGTAAATAGTGTTGTTACTTTATAAAAAATCATTTGCTTCTATTACCTACATTTTTAGCATTACTCTATTTTGTCTTCAGTATGTTGAGGGGATCTGGGTTTTAATTTATATCAGAGCCATTATTTTTCATAAAGTTGGCCTATTTTTTATTTCCATGCTATTGATCAAATGGAGATTAAGAAGTTTCAGTCTTCTCTTTAGAAAGTATTTTTTTTTTAAATGTATGGAACTAAAACCCACGTTATGACTGGACAAGATGGTTGCATGCCTGTAATCGCAGCACTTGGAAAGTTGAGGCATGAGAATCACTGTGAGTTTTAAGGCCAGCCTGAACTGCATAGCAAGACCATGTCTCTTCTCTTGCAAATACAGCAACAACAAAACCTCACTATATTCTGAAATGTAATATATATGTTTTATGTACGTGTGTTTTTTTCCAGATGATTTTGATTGGGACATATATTTGAAAGAGACTGGCTCTCAAAGTGCTCCTCCAGAGTGCTTCAGACAGGTATGCCAAAATTCTGTATGATGATATAAATGATATGCTTGTTGAAGGGTGTCCTATTGTTAGGTTCTGGTGGTATGAGGACAAACTAAGTTTGTGGTCATGTAACTTGGAAGCCAGATGGTCTCTTTGCATTCACTCATTAAGAATTTACTCTGTGTTTGGTATACTAAGCCCTTAGAATTGCCCATCTAGGGAAAAAGGCATGTAAGTAAATAATTATGACAAGTGTCATAACTCTGTAGTAGGGCAAGGGAATCTCATAGTGATATTTGAGATGGTAGGAATGAGGAGAAGGATGTTCCAAGCAGAGAGAACATCTGAAAACAAAGCAGATGGATTTGAAAGAATCTGAGTAGTGAGGGATGGCTTGGGTTAGCTGGAACACAAAGCTTTGAGGTGATAGTGTGGGAATAATATTAAAGGTGTGGGGTGTTTAAACTGTGCTCAGGAACTGGACTTTATCATAGCGTTAAAGTGCTAGGTGGCTTATTTCAAGGAAAATGGCCTAATTAAATTAATACTTTAGGAAGCCACTTAAGGGTGAATTTTAAAAGCTGTAGTAGGTTGCTTGGATGTGGGCAGATGAATGATAGTAACTATGTGTCCTGTTTCTAATGTGCTCTCTCTCAAGTCAAGGAGAGAGTTTGGAGATCTTTTCATTGACCGTTAAAGCTCTGACCTCATTTACCATCTGTTGTAACTTGTATTATTAACATTTTAAATGTTTCCACAGTAGTCTGATAATTGACCAACTTTTTCCCCTTAGAGTTGATGTATTTTATTTTAACAAAATTTTATTTATTATATAGTCTAAGATTCCTCCTGCTAACGACTTCAAAATTGGCATGAAATTGGAAGTTCGTGACCCTCGCAATAATACTTCAGTGTGTATTGCCACAGTTGTTGGAATTTCTGGGGCCAGATTACATTTACGGCTGGATGGTAGTGACAGTAATAACGATTTTTGGAAGCTTGTTGATTCTTCAGACATACAGCCTGTTGGATCATGTGCAAAGAGAGGAAACTTACTTCAGCCTCCACTGGGTAAGCATAAACAGTTTCTAAAATAACATTCTTATTAATGTGCCATTTAGTAGAAATAGTTTTACATGGTCTTTCAGAATTGTTAGGCATGCTTGCAAGTAGATGTTTAGGTGGTTAATGTATGGTAAAGGGTCTCATTTCAAGGCATATCTCATGCTAAGTCTTCAAGTTTGAAGTGCCAAAGAAGCTTTCTTAGATTTCACATGCAGATTCAGAAACCTTTTTAGGAAAGTCTTTTGTAGCATTCAATGAGTTACAATCTCCTCTTGATATTTTCTAGTGAGCCATTTAGCAGTTTCGGTATCAGGATAAGCATAGAGAAAGGTATGATTCTGTATTCAGTTGCAAGTTTCAAACATGGAAATATTATTACACCTGCAGTCAAAAGAAATCAGAGTTACAGGGATAGGAGTCATACCCTTAGATCTTAGAGCTCCAAATCCTAACTATTAACTCACCTTTAGGGGAACTTACCTTTACTTCTTTAAAAAGAAGGAAAGCATGAAACTTGTAGCAAAAGATTTAAGGGGTAGCATATGTAGCACTCAGTTTTGGCCCACATTTTAAAAGGGTATGATTCTTATTTTGAGGCGAGGCAAAGTCTTTCTTTTGTTTCATTTTGTTTTTTGAGATATGATCTCACTGAGGAGGCTGGCCTTGAACTTCTTTTATGTAGCCCAGTCTGGTCTCGGATTCATGGTAGTCCTCCTGCCTCAGTTTCCCCAGTGCTGGGATTATAGGCATGTGCAGCCACACCTAGCTAGTTTTTTTTTAAATTTAAGTATTTTGTAATCCTCTGTAGAATATAAGTGATTTAAATTATTTGATTTCTATTTTGAGTAATAGTTGTTGGTTTTTAGCTGTTGTTTGCTTCCTCTTCTTCATCCATTTTTATGGTAGTGGGGATTGAACCCAGGACTTTCACACTGAACTACAGTTGCCCATGTGGGGCTCAATTTTGGGACCCTCCTGCTTGCCTTAGTGATCCCCAGGGGATTACAGCATACGATACTATGCCTGGCTTATTCTTTTTTATATGCTGAAAATAAAACCTGTTATAAAGTACAGTGAGAGAATAGATAACTTTATCTCCTGTACAAAATTCCCCAAGAACCAAAAATTTAAAATACTAAAAATAACCACTGTTTAGCAATAGCTTTTCATACTGTCCTTGTTTTAATTGCTAATTATAATTAGTTTAAGGGCTAAGGAATATAAACTGCTACAGCATGTGTTCAGCATGTACAAGGTTCTGTATTCAATCCTCACAACCAAAAAAAAAAAAACTAGTTTGAACATTTTTGGTGGTTACTTTTAGACAGGGTCTCATAATTTAGTTCAGGCTGTCCTTGAATACCTTATGTAGCCCAGGCTGGCCTTGAACTCACAGACATCCTCCTGGCTCACCTTCCTGACTTCTGGGATTACAGGGGCCTGCCACCACACATAGAAGTTTAAAGTATTTTTTAAAATTAGCCAGAGATATGTATTCCAAGAAGGTAGCTTATACCATGTATGCTTTTTAACTTTTTGCCACCTTTCTTCATAATCATTCACATTTGTTATTTATAATATTTTAAAAATCATTCTGAGTTCTTTGTGGATAAGACAGGAGTCAAGAAAAAGGCATAAGTAACAGAATTATTGTTATGCATTGTTCTACAGGTAATGTTGAAGATACTTAATAAGTTGTGGAAAATGTTCATTAGATACCAATAATGTTAAAAATCCACCCTTTATATTTTTTTTCCCTAGGAAATAATATTTGCCTGGTTAGATTAAGGGAATTTGAGTATAGATTACTAGAACATGACTTTCAGTATTAACTTTTACGTATTTTATACTACTGATGGATGGGTCTGTTATCAGTGACTCATATGCTTCCCTATCTTTTTGAGGGGTTGAGGGGGTACTGGGAATTGAACTCAGTGCCTCATACATAGCAAGCATTTTACCAGTAAGCTGTGCCCCCAGTCTGTGTTTAACATTTTGTTTTTAAGAGAGGATCTTGCTAAGTTTCCTATCCTGGCTTCAAACCTGAAGTCTTTTGGCCTCAGCCTCCCAAGTTGGTGGGATTACAGGCATACACCACCACACCTGGCTACCTCCATATCGTATTGCAAGTACCCATCAATAGTGCATACCAGCTTCTTTCCAGTTCTGGCATTAAGCCAGGCAGGTGTTGCATGAAACCGGTTGCCTCCAGTAAACAGTAAAACTTGCTGTTGCAGTCAGGGATTTGCAAAGAAAATGATTACATACAGGACACATAATTTTAGTGTTACTGTGTTATGGTCACACAAGAAGTTAAATACAAAGACAATACAGGAAATCTGTCCACACATTAAAGACTTAGGAAATCCAGCTGAGAGCCTCAGTCCTACGGCAATAATTCTGCATGAGTTCTGCTGAAGACCTAGAAGTCCATGGCAGCGCCTCCCATGAGCCCAGCTGCAGGCCTAGATCCTGCAACAATGACTTAAGCAAGTCTATTTCATGTATCTGTGCTGGGAAGGCCCAAAGGTCAGTAATGGAAGCCAGAAAGTCTATGCCAGTAGGATGAAGGCTATGTGCCAGTAGGTTGAAGATTCTTCACTGGAGCCAGGAAACAATAGTCAAAGTAAGGACCAGGGCTCCCCTGAAAAGTACAACAGCCATCCTCAGTGGCAATTGAGGTCCTTAGCTCCTTTGACAATGAGAACACTGAGTTCATATCAGGAAACTAGTGTGACAAGCTTCTCCAGGAGATTGAACAGTACACATCTTCCCCTCTGGAGCCAGGAAGCGATGCTCAAAGTAAGGACCAGAGCTCCCCCAAAGTGAACTGCTGCCATCCTCAGTGACAAGATCCCAAGCTCCTTTGAAGATAAGAACAGCAAATTCATATCAGGAAAGAAGCTCAGTAAGCTCTTTCAGGAGAACCCACAGCAGTAGGAGAACCAACAGCACCAAACAACAGTGCTGCTCTTCTCTCTAGGTCTCCTTTTTATGATAGCAGCAGTCCTCAGTTGGACCATCTATACTCAACACCACACTGATGTTAAGTTGATGATCAGTTTTTAAGCCACCATACTAGCCAGACATCTGCGTTCTGCATAACATACTGAGTGCTATAATAAGAGGAGATGAGAACTCGAGAAAAAACAGGTTTTGTGTATTTTGGTAACTTCTGATATAAATTTGTTTTGTTTTGGTTTGGTCTGGTTTTTTGTTTTTTTGGTACTGGGGATTGAACTCATGACCTTCCACTTACCATGCAATTACTTATGCTGCTGAGCTAAATCCCCGATCTGATACAGATTTTAAGATTATATTTAGTTTGTGATTACTAATGTGAGAGAATTCTTTTTGTCTAACATTTTATGAAAAAATGTCAAAAAGCAATAAAGATGAAAGAATTTTATAGTGAATACCTGTGTACCTATTACTGTACCTAGATAATACCATTGTCATTTACCCATCTGTTTGTCCTTCTATTGACTTATCAACCTATCTTATTTTTAATGCATTTCAGAATAAGTTATTGATTCTAGTACATTTTTCTTAAATATTTGAACATGTGTATCATTAATTAGAATAGTCTTTTTGTTTTGACACAAAACTTATATATAATAAAATGCACTGTTGTATATGCACATTTGCCGAGTTTGACAGAAAATTGTATTTCTGAAGAAAGGAAAAGAAAAGGAAGCTAGGCAACCTGAGGAAAAGGGAGCTAGAAGTCTTCTGCAACCTTTGTATATGCTTGTGTGCTTGTTGTTGATAGATTCGAAGCTTTCCTGGGCTCTGGCTTGGGTCACCCTTAGTGACCCAAAGTATGGACTTTCCATATGGTGTATGCCTTTATGGACTTTCCCCAAAGTATATTTGTTTGTTGGTAAGCCTAGCCAGTGGCTTCTCTTAAATATGTCTTCCTAGATCTGCTAGCATTGTTGCCACATAGTATAGTGGGGATAGTATCGAGAAGAAGCTAGATCGGCTTCTCCTGCCCATGTCCCAAGTTCTTAGATGAGAAAATAATTCTCTGGACAATAGTAGTTAATGAAACGTACTTCTTTATGCCAACTTGTTATGAAATCATGGGAAAGCTTTTTCATGATACAGAATTTATTTCATAAAAATAGGATTCCAGATGAATGTATCATCTTGGCCAGGGTTCCTTTCAAGAATACTGAGTGGACCTGACCTGGCACCTGCAACAGTCTTCAAGAAGGTAAGAAAAGTGTTGTTAAAGATCTCTGTTAACTAGGGCATCGCTTTATTATTTTAATGGGAATATGAAAATGCTTTGTCTTTGACACTGGAAAACAAAAATACTAGCAATTGACTGATTGATTGGCAGTCTTGCTATGTATTCTAGGCTGGCCATGAACTCACTATATGTAGCCAAGGCTGGCCTTGAACTCACAACAATCCTCCTGCCTTACCTTCTCAATTGCTGAGATTACCAGTCTGTGCCACTATGCCCAGCAAAAATACTTTATTACTTGATTGGTAAATCCATGAGTCACTGGGAATGCCATAACAAAGTACCACAGACCGTGTGGCTCAAACAACAAAAATAGAAATCCAAGATCAAGGTGCCTTCAAGCTTGGTTTCCGGTAAAATCTCTTTTCTTGTCTTGAAGATGTCTACTTTCTTTCTCACAGTCTCTTCTATATGTATGCACATTCCTAGGGTCTCTTCCTATTATTATGACACTAGTCATATTGGTTTAAGGACGTATCTTCAGATACAGTCAGTTTGGTGATTAGTTCCATCAACATGAATTTTGAGGGAATGCAATTTGTAATAATAGCTTAAGCAACAGAAGTTTATTTTCTCATAGCTTTGGAAGCTAGGAATCGGAAATCAACATTTGGGCAGGGTTGGTTTCTTCCCTCTTTCCTTGGCGTGTAGATATGCTCTTAGTCCCGTTTTCTATATCCTACTTTCCTACTCTTACAGGGGGTCATGTTGGATTAAGATCTGCACTTATGACCACATTTTAAATTAGTTACCTCTTTAAAGACCCACTTCCAAATATAGTCATATTCTAAAATTCAGCCCATAACACCGGATCATAAAAATGATACAATTATAATCACTCATTAGTCAAATTAAACTAATACTTTCTTTCTTTTTCTTTTTCTCCTCTTGCTTCCACTCTTCACTCCTTTCTCTTCCCCTTCCTCTTCTTGCACTGGGAATTGAACACAGAGCCTTTATGTTAAGCTACATCTCAGCTCACATTCATTCATTCATTCATTCATTTGTATTTTGATATTGGGTTTTGCTGACTTTCTCATGCTGGGCTTGGACTTTATCTTCATGCTTCAGCATCACAGAATATCTCTTTCTTGCCTTTAGATATCTAAGAGGTGGTCCAGTGGGAGCAGATATTTATTGCTCTTCTTTTATTTATCTTTAGAAGTGAAGCCTCCCCTTTATCTTGCTGTATTATTACTTTCATGTTGGAGAAAGTGATGATGGGCCAAAAACTTAACCTGAAAGTTACTTGTTTTCAGAAGTAAAGAAAGTTAAAAACAGTCATGAGAAATAATTGGTAAAAGATAATGTTTGTTATATAAAAATGAGAGGAAAAAATTCCAAAAATAGTTCCATGTTCTTGAGAAAATGTTGAAAGAGTATGTGGAGAAACAGTGAATGGAAGCCAAGTTTTAGTTGAATTACGATTCATAGTATTCCTTTCCTGCTCTGTCTCCTAACAGCTTTTTAAACATTACTTAAATTTTACACAATTATTCATACAGGGAATGTAAAAACTGATTATAGTTTTAAAAAACTTTTTAAGAAGATGAAAGACATAAGAATATAAGACACCAATTAATACAACTACATTGTGAAGAAAAATGATCTAAGTATGCCTTTAAGCAGCATGAATACAGAAAATAGATTTGCCTGGCCAATAAGATATATTGGCAAATGCAAGTGTTTTGCCCATTGAACCAGCTAATAAAATTTTTAAAAAATCTTAGCAAGTGGGTTATTTGTGAGTGTGTGTCTGTGTGTGTGTGTGTGTGTGTGTGTGTGTGTGTGTGTGTCTGTATATATGCAGGCATGGTATTGAGGAGTCAACCCAGAAAACACTGAGCTATATTTTCAACCCTGTTTGTTTTTTATGAAAGAATTGAGACTGGGTCTCTAAATTGCTCAGGCTGTCCTTGAACTTGGGATTCTCCTGCCTCAGCCTCCCCAGGAGCTGGGATCACAGGCGTACAGTACCATTCTTGGCTAGCAGCAGTCTTTATTAAAACCTCTTAGCTTGGGTAGTGACTTGAGAACAGCCATTGGATCTCTTTTACTTACCACATTTCTCTATCAGCTAGTCACGTGCCACATGTCATATGCATTATCATTTTTTAGTAATAAAATAATTCATGTGGGCAGGATCAAGCTATATGCTTTGCTAGAATGAAAAGTAGACCTCCTTTCATGCTGTCCATACCTTCATTCTACTCTCCTCTCTAATTTGAAGTTTTACTTGTTCTTCTATACCATAATGACAAACCTTTTATAGCTTTCAATGATAACTCACTGTGACACATGTGCCATAGGTTCACTATTACTGGCCTAGACCTTTTTTGGGCATTTACAAATACAGGCTTTTTACTTTTTCAACATAAATAAGAATATACTGTATATACCATTCTGTAGTTTACTTTCTATAACATGCATATTTTAGGAAAATAATTTTTTTGAAATCTTTGTTTTGTTTCATATGTATGTTGGGTTATACTATATTTTTCTGTAGTATGGTTTAGAAAAATTGATTTAACCACTGTAATGATAGATAATTAGATAGTCTTTGAATTTTTGTTCATGTTAGCTCTACATGAGGATTCTTATATAAAGTTTTATGTATAAATAGTAATGAGTACATTCTCAGAAATTGAATTGCTGGCTCAAAGGATTGTATGTTTTAAGTATTGATAAATACTGTTAAATTGAGCCAAGCATTGTGACACCTGTGTGTAACTTAGTACTTGGGAGGCTAAGGCAGGAAGATCACTGAGTCTGAGGACAGCCTGGGCTTCATAGTGACTTCAATGCTAGGCTTGAGACCCTTTCTCAAAAACTAAAAACAAACCCCCAAAACTCTAAAATTACTTTCCAAAAGGGTGTTCTAATTTGTGTTCCATTGTTAAGCATATAAACATGTTTGTATCCCCATAGCTTCACTAATATAAATTTTTGAGAAAGTTTCAGAGATTGGGATGATATTCTTTTATTTTAATTTGTATTGCACTGATTAGTACTAAAGTGAGCTTTTGAAATTTGTTTGATGACGTTTTGTTTTTCTGTAAGCTGCCTCCTACTTGAGCTTTTGCCTGTGTTTTCTGCTTTCTTCTTGATTTGTGGGTGTCCTTTCTAGCCAACCTGGAAATTTGACTAGGAGCCATTTTAAATCCTCAACCCCTCTTTGACCTTAGCCTCTGCATATCCAATTAATTAGATAGGTCCACCCACTTAGTTTCCTAATTGTTTCTTTGTTGAATCTTCTTTCTAATCTTACTTGACTGCCTCTCCTCTTGTAGGCTTTCTTCTTGCCTGGAATGTTATACTAACCTTTAACTATCCCTAATCATTACTCTTCCACATGATGTTAGAAATGTGTGTGTAGAAACAAAGAACATTAGTATGTGATTTGTTCTCCTGCTTAAAACTCTTTTGAAGTTTCTGGTTATGCTTAGAATGAAACATAAGTTTCTTAACATAGTCTCTTAGGTCTTTGGTTTGCAGCTGCCACACCCTGATTTGGATTTTGTGTTCTAAATTGTTTATCATATCCTCTAAATAGCATGTTTCTTTTTAGAACTGTCTTTGACTCATGCTGATAATCTTTGGCTAACTACTTTTTAAAGATTTGAGCAGGCATTAAATCCTCAAGATACTTCCTTTAATTCCTGCCTTCCATTTTTAAACAGTGCTTCAGTAGTATCTTGGGTATATATCAATTTTTGTATTATTGTATATTATTTCACTCTCTTGGTCCATTTGACCAGTTAGCATGTCGTTGTATTTTCAGTACCTATCTTAGTTCCTGGGCTTACATTTATTTGTAATGTAATGAATGAAGAATGGATAAGGGAATACAGGAAAATGAATACATTTGGAGGGAGCATATGGCTTTGGATTTGGGTATGTTGAGGCATCTGAGGGAACTTTGTATGGGGAGGACTGTTGGCTGTTTGAAATGAAGGATTTAGAACTTACAAACTAAGTTTGGCTTAGGCATGTAGATTTCGAAGTTTTGCACATAAATAATAGTGAAACATTAAGCATGAAATTAGCTAGTTTAGCAAATACATAAAAGAGAGAAGCATCAAGATTAGAACCTTGAGAAATATTTACCCACCTTTATAGGGTGGATAAAGGAATCAAAATAGCCTTAGAAGTAGAAGGAGGTGAAAAACTAGAATAATGTCACTGAATTTAGTGGAGCAAAGAATTGTGAGGACTAGAAAGTAGTTACTATTGCAAGTACATCTCAGATTTTTATAGTGCCTAGCTCACATCATTTGCTTAAATAGAGATCAGTTAACAGGAAAGCTCATTCTTGACTATGTGATACATAGGGAACAGAATGAGAGGGGAAAGTGTGGGAATGTCACAAAAGGGACCAAGGACAGGTTGTCCCCAGTGACCTGCTACTTCCAACTAGCCCCACCTTCTAATAGCATCTTCAGCTATGAACTCATGAGATTTGTGCCCCATGATCTAACCACCTTCCAAAGGCCTACTTCTGAGCATGCAAACCTTTTTTAGGGCATTTTTAATTCAAACCATAGTAGTCATTTTCTGTATCAGTAGTGCTCAGCCCAGAAAAGGGAGTGATTTCTCTGCCTGCTTCACAACCAAGGACATTTGGTGGTATCTGGGGGATATTTTTTGTTAAAACTGTGTAGGGACACGCTACTGACATCTAGTGAAAAGAGATCAGAAGTGCCACTAAATATGTTTGACGCACAAAAAAGTCCCCCCAAAACCAAAGTAATGTTTTGGCCCTAAGTCTCAGTAATGCCAAAGCTGAGAAACCCTAATCTCTATAGTTTGTGATAAACTCATCTAGTTTTCTGGTTGTAAATGCAGCTTTTGTGCAGATGACTTTCAAATTTATATTTCCAATCCAGACCTGTTGATCAAACTGAGATTTCTGTATCCAGCTACCTGCCTACCTAGCATCTCTGCTTGGATGTCCAGTGGACATCTTAAATTACACCTGAAATCTCCCCATCTCAGAGAATGGGAACTATCTTAGTTGCTCAGGCCACAAACTTTGGTGATCTTTTCTTTCTCTCCTTACGTCTAGTCCAAATGGAAATCCTATTGACTCTACCTGTAAGATGTATCCCAAATCTGTCCACTTGCCATCTCCATTACCTTGGTACAATCTGTTTTTATCTCATACTTGGATTTCTATACTACCTTACTCAGCAATCAATATAGAACCCAGAATATTCCTTTTAAAATATAGTCCTTGTAGTATATCACTTCTCTGTTGCCTTCCAGGGGGTCTGTATTTTACTCAGAGTAAAAGCCAGAGTCCTTACAGGAACCTACAGATAATGCATGGTGTAATTCCTTGTTAGCGATCTGACTTCTTTTCCTGATGCTCTCTTACTTAACGTAATACATTTTAACTATGCTTCCTTGATGTTCGTCAAAATTATCAAATGTACCTTCTTACTTTAGAATCTTCACCCTGGGCATTTTATCTGCTTAGAACACTTCTCTGTATTTGCATGGTTAGTAATCACATCCTTAAGGTTTCTGCTCACATGTCACTTTTCATATGAGACTTGACCTAATTCCCTTCTTTAAAATTATCTGTCCCTTTCTCACACACTACTTTCTGGACCTCCTCTCTTCTCTCTCTTTTGCTTAACAACTATCATTTTTGTCATTTGTTTATATTCTGCTTTTTAAGTTACGTTTATTATATATTCCTCTGTATCATAAGAGTAGGATTTTATGTTTGATTGGTTAAAATATTTGAAGAACCTTCAGTCATGCCCCACATACAGTGGGTAACGAATATTAGTAAATGAATACATGAAAGTTAATGGGTTATAATACTTGATGAGATCAAAGAAGTGTATTAAAAGTAAGGTAGAAGTTAAGTATAGGAGTTTGTTGTCACAGGTAAACGCTCAGAATATAGCAATAAATAAAGCATAAAACTCATGTCCTTATGTGTCTTACCTTCTAATTGAAGAAATATTTCATAAACTATTTAAATAAAACATGTATTGTGTTTGTAGTTCAACCAGATTAGGAGATCAGAAGTTGACATTTTAGATAGGTTGGCCAGGTTTTTGCTGAGAAGGTGCTATCTGAATGAAGAGCTGAAGGAAAAGAGAGAGAACCAGCTACCAAGAATAATCATTTTCCAATATTCCAAGCAGAAAAGCTATACAGATAAATGATGAGACTGGCATCAGAGTGAATGGTATGCTATTAACCATATTGTATGTGGGTAAGAAGAAAGAGGCTACAAGAGCATTCTTTACTAGCTACCTTCTAGGATAGAACCATTTTTGTCTCACAGTAAAAGAACAGAATGACCTTCTGTTTATTTTAGCTATGTCTTTTTCACATTGTTGTATTTCAAAATTCATTCAAGAACGGGAAACATTTAAAAGCACTTTATATCATTTTTGTGGACAACATAGAGAAATATTTTGCCAATTACCTAAATCTGACCCTGTTTCAAAATAAAAAATAAAGAGACGCATGTGATGGCACATGCCTGTATATCCCAGCACTCTGAAAAGCTGAGGCAGGAAGATTACAAGTTGGAGCCAAACTTGGGCAATTTAGCAAGACTCTGTCAAAAAGTACAAAAGGGCTGAGATGTAGATCAGTGAGAAGATCCTTGGATAATTCCCAGTATCACAAAATAAATATATACAAATGAATAAATACGTTTTTTGAAAAAAGAGTCCAGAGATACACCTCAGTGAAAGAGTGACTCTGGGTTCAGTCCAAAATACCACCAAAAAAGAAAAAAATCAGGAGCTTATTTACTCTTCTTGGATGATTCCTTGATTTTTTCCTTAAAAAATGATTGGTATTGAATACTATGCTGGAAAGAACATGAATAAGATGCAATTAATACTCTCTCGGTTTCCTGAAAGAGTAGATACCTCAACATGGTTTCATAAGTGAAAATGAGAGTACCTCTGTTGAGGCGGGGCCTGGAAGTGGGCATTGTTTAATAGGGAAGCATTCAAGGGGACCAGAAGACCTGGGTTTTGAAGTGGATTAGTTGGTGTTGACCAGGCACTTGTTGGGGTAGGATGTTCAAGAAGGTGGCTGTCAGACAGATTGTTTAGGTTTAAAGTCCAGCCCTGATAATTGGTGCTGTATTCTTAAGTAAGTATGTATTGTATCAGTTTTCTCATTTTCATAATAAGACTAATAATTGCATTGGCCTCATAGCATTCTTTTTTTTTTTTTGTCTTTTTCATTTTTATTGGTACCAGGGATCGAACTCACGACTGCCTGCTTGCTGAGCTAAATCCCCAGCCCCGACCTCATAGCATTCTTGTATGAACTAAATGAATATATGTAAAACAAAGAGTTCCTGGCATATAATAAAATTTTAAGGTTGACTTTTGATTTTGTTATTCTAGAGAAGGGGGGTAATTGCAGGTTATGAGTTTTGATTGAATTGTGGGTAAATGAAGGAATGAATCTAAGACAGTGCTTCTAAATGTAGGGTACACATCAGTCTTTTGGGGAATTAATACCTAGGTCTCATCCTATAGTAATTCAATTGGCATCACTAGTGGTGTGGCCCAGTTGATTCTAGTGTTCAGTAGAGCTAAGAACCTATGTCCGGGACTATTTCTAGGCTTTTGGCTTGGGTGACTGGGTTACTGTGATGGTGCCATTTATTAGCATGAAAAAGCTGATTGAAAGAAAGGATGTTGCTTCTTGACATACCGTTTGAGTTTTCTAAGAATCCTGTCATCATTTAGGTGCTGTCATATTTTGTAATTAAGGACTGCCTGGGAGCAGGGAGGAGTACTGGGTCTTGAACCCCAGGCTTTTGCACTTACCTGCATCCTCAACCCTTTTTATTTTTTATTTTGAGACCGAGTCTCACTAAATCACTGAGTTGCCCCAGCTGGGATCAACTCTCATCTTCTTGCCTTAGTGTCTCAGAGTGCTGGAATTACAGGTGTGTGCTAGCATGCCTGGTTGAGAATACTGTTTTAATGTTGATATCTGGGTATTGGCTATCACTCATTATGTGACTATCTTGTTTTTAGGTCTACAATGTATACTCTTGAGTTTCTTTTAGGATATTATCTGTTGCTGTTGCTACCCTTTTGTACTTAACCATAATCAAAATGCTCTTTAATTATTTGCATATTTATTAGGGTTGTCTAAAACTTTCTCTTTTAAACTTTCTTGTTCATTGGTTTCTTCTGTCTCCAGCCTTTACTACCAACAGCACTAGAATGTAAGTTCTACCGGAGCTGAAATGGTTGATATTTTTGTTCACCAGTGAATTTTAAATTGTTGTTACATAGTAGATAAATCATTTTTTTGAATGAATGGATGGATCAGCCTGGTTTTATTTCCTTCCAGGTCCTTGGCTTTTTGTTGAATAAAGAGATGTTGGAGAACAGATTTTCAAATCTGTGAGAACTCCTTTAACTAGCAAAATGGAAATATATAATAAATATTATTTATGTTTGCTAAGGGTTATAAAACAATACACGAGCAGATGTTCTTAATACATGTTAGTATTGAAAAATCTTTTTCAATATTTTGGTAGGAACCATCAAAGCCACCCCTAAATAATTTTAAAGTGGGGATGAAGCTGGAAGCTACTGACAGAAAGAACCCATATTTCATCTGCCCGGCAACAGTTGGAAATACTAGAGGAGATGAAGTTTACATCACGTTTGATGGCTGGGGTGGAGCATTTGATTACTGGTGCAAGTATGATTCTAGAGAAATTTTCCCAATTGGGTGGTGTTGCCTGACAGGAGATGTATTACAACCACCAGGGGATAAAGGTAAGCTAAAAAGTAACTACATGTTCTTTTATTTTAATGAAGTTAGAATTGACTGCTTTAGATGGCATTATGATTAGCTTTGATGATATTAAGACTTCATGGCCAACTGGAGGTCAGGTAAGAACAGCAAGAGCAATGTCTGTGTTATAACCAGAGATAAAGACGGACTATGATTAGAATTCTTGAGGGATAACTCAGTATCATACACTTAAGTTCCATTTCACCCTGGAGAATGCAGGCAAGGCTATAAGTCACATTTGGACCAAGGAAGCATTGTTGGCTTTAAGCATTGGGCAGAGTGGTGGGTAGCAACCTTTGTAATTGCTATTCTTGGATATAGGTCAGTGATAGAGTGCATGCTTATATAAAGCCCTGGGTTTGCTCTCTAGTACCTAAAAAGAAAAGAGAATGTTTATATGTAATATTGCATTGTTTATATCTCTAGGATAAATTTTTAAAGGTGGGGTATAACAAACTGTTAAAAACATAATATGACATGATTTGATTCTGTTTTGAAATTAAATCAATACTTTGTTAATCTTAAGTAAAATCTATATGTAGAATGACTCTTTGGAAGCCATTGTAAATTTCTGTGTTATTTTAATTATGATAGTGTTTGTCAGTTGTTAAAGCTATATTTCTCAAATTAAACACTACTATGATTAGCTAAATCAGTGGTGGTGAACCTGTGGCATGCATGCCGCACTGGGCTCTTTGTATTGTTGAGAGCTCTAAAAGGCTTACCATTATTGATCTAGATTCTTTTCTTTCAGAAAAAAAAGTCTCTAAAGTATTGAACCTCCTTAGAGACTAACAAGGGCTGAGGAGTGCTTAACATGGTCCTCGTGATGGAATAACTGCCAATATTTAAGTGAGGTCTAAAGACAAAACCTTGCGTTTGGACTAGTTTTTTTATGAATTTGTTGGTGTAATTGGATATAAATATAAATAAAATTTAGTAGATGTGTTTATACCAGAAGTAGTAATGTAGAAAAATTAGGACAGTATGTATAGGAAGACAGTGGGTAGAAAGGTGCTTAAATAGCTATATTATTCTTGTAGCTGCTATTAAAATCTGTAATTTGGAACATTTGTGCTATAATATATGCTATGATTTTTTTTTAAATTAGGTATCTCTTTTACCAGTTTTGGACATGGTGAGTTTGGAATGTAGGGCTGAAAATGCTATTGTCCTCCAGTATCTGTTCTCCCCTTTTTCTTAGGAATACAGTTTGGCTCTTTACCATAATGACTGCATTTCTTACCTGCTAGCAGTAATGTATAGCTATGAGTGTAAATACAGATAGTGTGTTTTACTTCCAGGAAGTGTATTTTAGAGAGAGGAGTGCATTCTTTTTCCTGTTTCTGTCCTGATGCTAGGAGTGTTTTTTAAATTGAAGATCCATCTTGGACTATGAAATGGGGACTCTAATGTGTCCTACACACTGTGGAGTGGGAAGCAGAAAGAAGGGGCTGGAGACCCTGAGGATGTTGCATAGCAGAGCTTTCATATTAGTCTGCATTGTCTGTTTCCAGCCTTTTACTTTAGAATTAGGTTATTTCAATGCCTGTTCTTTTAGATTTTGCACTTACTGTTAGCTAAACTAAATCTTAATTGATTCAGAGTAAATTTGATATGTCCAGGTACAGCTGTCAATTCAGTAGCTGCCTATGCAGGTATAGAGCCTAAAATAATCGTAGGTCCTGGTTGATAAAGTAGATTTGAGAGTCATAATGTTCACTCAAGAAAAAAAATTTTTATTATAGGTGGAAATACAAATTTGTGTATTGGGAGGGTGCACTCTATATTTTATTGATAGGAGAAAGTGATAGAAGTTTTGTGTGAACACTAAAAGGTGAGGTATACATAAATGGAGGATAGTGACTGCATTGATTTCTAGCAATAGGAGATGAAAGATTTTTAAAGAGAAAATATTCAACAGTATCAAATGCAGCATAAAAGTCAAAAGGAGAGCTCATTAGTAAATTTATCATTACTTAATTCTTTTAAAAGCCATGTTTATAACAACCCAAGTGTCCTGAGGAATGGATAAAAAAGTTGTGGTATTTCTATACAATGGAGTATTAATCAGCTATAAAGAAGGATCACATTGAGATATTTATCAATAAATGGGCACAGCTTGAGACCATACTCATAAGTGAAATAAATCAATCTCACATTTGTGAATACCGAATAGTTTCCCTAATGTAAATAATGATTCAAATATATAAAAATATGTGGTAATCATGATTCCCCATGATATGGCCTTCAAGCCTTATAAAGTTTTCACTTATTGATTGGAAAGGCTTTATTCTGGGCTTCTTGATATGGAAATATTTGAAGCTATAGTATATGAAGTTTTATTCAAATATTTCAAGGAAAAAGACAGACACTATGGTAACTACTATTAAGTTGGGTTATTTGGTGGTGAAGGACTAGGTTGTTGAAACAGTCATGCTTTGACCTGTATTGTTATGTTGTTATGTCCTCTTTTATCTCAATCTCTCCCTTATTCATTAAAAGAATTATTTAGTTATTTTTATGTTTTTTTTAATTAAGGGGAAAATTTAAAAAATTAGCAGGATATATAATAGTAACCTTTTTTGATTTCCTATTAACTTGTTTTGAAGTCCTATAATACTCCCACTATCTTGTTTTGACTGATTAGACTCTGTTCCATTCTGTATGATAGTATCAAGTTTGAGGGTATAGGCAACTACTTTGAAGGCAATAAGATTCACTAAGATGCCCATTCTGGTTTGACTCCTTTGGAAGTCCTGTAATGTTTACAATGCTTAATTTTATTGTTCTTGTTCTCTACTGTTTTGTTCAACTTTATAATACCTAATGAGATAGACAATTCTTTTTAAGGAAACAAGAGACATTATGGTAACCATTGTTGATAACCTTGTACTCTGTTTTTACATCATGTGCTATATCTATCCTTGGTTTTGACTGACAGCTTTGTTTTGCTATATTTGACTTTATTCTCTCCCCCCAAAAAAGTAATAAGAACTAAGGAGTAATAAAACCCAAAATGTGTAAATTGTGTTGTAAAAAAGAGAAGGAAAAAAAGTGCTCTAGAAGATACAACAGCAAGTGTGTTTAGGGCTGTTAAATAGCTGACCATATTAATGTTTTTGGTTGGATCATTGAACACAACTGTTTGCAGTCTCACTGTTTGAATGTCCACTTTGTATGCTTTGATCCTGTGACTTGAGCAACTATCTCTAGGATGAAAATGTGTAATCTATTAACTTATGATTTCTTACTGTTTTTTTTTGTACTTCTGTATTACTTGTACCCTTACACCGCTTTGTTTTGTTTTGTTTTGTTTTTTCTCTTTTCCCTTTTAAATAAAATTAAAAAAACATGTTTATAAACAGCTATTTTGAAGAAAACAAGACATTATAATAGCTAGTGCTGATTTAATATCATCTTGTTTTGACGTCCTACCAAGCTTTTGTTCTTCTGTCTCCATCGGTTTTATCATGTTGTATCTTACTGGATTTTATTATATGTGATAGTATAAACAAAATTTTTTATGGACAAGGAGATAATATAGTAACCATTGTTAATTTTCTGTTAGTTGGTCCTGAATACCCTGTAATACTTTTATTCTCTTGAATGGTTTTATACTGTCTTTATACTGTCTGTTATATTTGATACTATAGTGTATGAAGGTATACTCAAATATTTCAAGGAAAGAGACACTATGATAGCTACTGTTATGTTGGGTTGTCTTGTGGTGAAACACTATGATGCTTAAATTGTTCTGTTCTGACCTGTTTTGTTATGTCCTCTTTTTATCTTAAAACATATTTATAGAGTCAGGGGTCAAATAGAAATGTAAATTTTTTTAAAATGTGGCATCTCGTACTTTGTGAGATCTGTCTTCTCTGTCCTTACCTATCGACTTTTTCCTGGTTCAGGTAATATGTAGAAATCTTATCTCACCTTGTGTGTCTTTATGCTCCAGTTTTTATAATTATTGTTAGTATTTTATTTCCACTCATTGAAAAACCAGATTAAGCAGTGTTCTAGTTTTGCTTTAACCACCGAACATAATTTTCAAAATGCAAGAGGAGAAAGAAAATCTGTTGCACTCACCTACATTTTGCCCTTTTAGTTATTCTTTCTTTCTGATTTTCAGGATTTTTCCTTTTATCATTTTCTTTTAAGAGAGCCTCCATTTTAAGAGAGCCTCCATTCTTTTAGGGAATGGTGGTGACAAATATTACTAGTTTCTCTTCATCTGGATTGTCTTTATTTCCTGTTGATTCTTGGAGGATAGTCACTGAATAGTATGTTTTTTGTTGTTGTTGTTGTTTTGCTTACTCTTGGTTGTTTTTGAGACAGTTTCTTGCTATTTAGTTCAGGCTGGCCTTGAATTCACTATATTCCCAGGCTGGTCTTGAACTCACAGTGATCCTCCTGCCTCAGCCTTCCAAGTACCACAATTACAAGTGTGTGCCATTGCACCTGTCTGAATGTTTAACATATCTTTTTGTAATCCTGTAAGCCACTAGTAGTACTGTTTATATAGTCAATATTTTTGAGATTTATCCACATCTTTAACCTGTTTTAATCTGTATTCCTTAGCATCTCAAGCTTTTCATCTAGGATTTTCTTTTATATGAGGTATATATCTCAGAAATTCCTTTAATGAAGGTTTGTTAATGGAGTCTCTCAGTTTATGTTCATTTCAATGCCACCATTTCAGGTCTTTCCTGAAAGGTATTTTTATGGCTGTAGAGTTCCAGGTTAACCATTACTCTTTCTGGGAATAATGAATGTATATTTCTTTAACTTTCTCGTTTCCATTATTGCTATTGAGAATTCAGTTGTCAGTCTATTTCTCCTCTGACTGTAATCTGTCATTTTTTTCTGTAGCTGTTTTAATAATTATCATGTCATCTTTGGTGTTTCACACTAAAACAGGTATAAGGCTTGTTTAACCTTCGATGCCTTGGTAGAATCATGCATATACAAATAGTAA